CTGTACTTAAGATTTTTAAAGCTTGTTAGTTAAATTACTTTTGAAAGAAGTTCAAACCATAGTAAGTATATCCTTTTTTCTTTACCCTTTTCTTTTTGATCAACATAATTTAAATGTGCTGTGGAAGTTTAACTATAGGTTCAAGAATACCATGAGATAAAAATTGTTGGAAAATACTTCCTGTTGAGCCCCCACAGGAAGGGTCTGGAGAAAGCAGATCTCCAGCAAGCCTAGTGGGCTCAAGAACGCACATCCCAGGGGATGGGCCCACATTTATAGCAGGGCAGCTGCTGGAGGAGAGGCAAGGCTGAGCAAACACTGGGCGGCAAGCTGCCCAGGGGCGAAATCCAGGCAGCACTTACCGCCTGCAGGGGGCACCACCTGGTCCAGCAGCTTCATGCTGGTCCGCTTCCAGATCTTCTTGATTATTGCCCGAAGCTCCTCATTGGCCTGCTCCAGGTTCCCTGAGGGATGGGAGATGCAAGGCCGAGAATGAGGATCAGCCCAGGCCCCTCTGCATAAAGCGGGAAGCCGCAGAGGGTGGCATGTGGCCCCACACGGCCCTGATCTGTCAGTTTCTTCCTGGCTTAGTTTCCCTGCAGCTCTCCCAGTTCCACCTCCTTCCTCTTCCTCCTGCTCTCTTCACTTCCCCCTTCCTCCCTGTGTCCCATCCAGAGCCATTCCTCTCCCTTCCCCCTGTGTGTTGCTCAGGCAGCCAGGGGGTCCCTCTGCCCCACCTGACACTCGATTCTTTTCTTCATGGACAAGCCCAGGTGCTGGTCAGCTCCATCAGGGGCCACATGCTCACCAGCTCATATACACGCACCCCTCTGAAGGGGAGCAGTAGGGGCTGCTGTGGGGGTATTTCTTATGGGCCTCCTTGGGGTGCCACAGGAAGTGTGGATGAGATTGGAGGGAAGAACAGTCTCCCCCACATGCAGGGGTACATCTGTGCCAACAAGGGCTCTGTCTGCCGAGTCTCCCCTGGGAAGCAGAACCTAACTGTGGAAGCAGGGTTCAGGAGACACTGGGCTCTGTGGTTTGGAATTTTCTTGATGTATTCTTTCTCCAGTGGTAAAACAGCCTTACTAAGATGCCCATACCATGCAGCCTCTGGGATCCTGGCCTTACAGAGATGAGAAAGGAGGGCTGAGACCTGCCCTGTATGAGGGAGGTGGCAGGCAGGATTCTAGGCTGCTCCCAAAGATATCTCCACCCCCAGCAATCCCAAGGTCCGTGAACGTGATGCACTTTACTCCTGCGATTAGGTTACATTACACGGCACCTGTGACCGTGAGACAAGGAGATTATCTAAGCGGGCCTGACCGAACCACGCAGGCCTTTTAAAAGCAGAGAGTTCTCTCCAGGTGGGAGAGAAAAGGCAGTGAGAGAGATGGGCTCTCGCTAGCCTGGCAGAAGGCAGACACCCATGCTATGAACTGAGCAGTCTCCAGGGGCCTGGGAGTGGTCCTCAGCAAACAGCTAGTAGGGAAATGAGGACTGTAGACTGATGATGCCAAGAAATGAATTCTACCAACAACCTGAATCAGCTTGGAGGTGGAAACTTCCCTAGAGCCACCAGAAGAGCACACAGCCTGACCGACATCCTGAATTTGGTCTCGTGAGACCCTGGCCAGAGAACCTAGATACTCCATAGCTGGACTTCTGACCCACAGAGCTGTGAGCTCATAACTGGAGCCATCATTTGTGGTCATTTATTATACAGCAACAGGGAACCAAGGCAAGGGACATTTACTGCTGGCACATGGGAGAGGCAGGATGGGACAGCAGCTGAGACCTATATTAGACTGCATTCACAGCCACCTCTGGGACCACATGGGAGAGCAAGCAGAGGTGACACCAAGGAGAAAATGCTGGGCTCCTGAGTTCCTGGTTGCACATCAGATCCAAACAGGAGCTGAGCCAGAGGACAGCTCCTTAGCACTCCTCAGTTATGGCCGAGATTAGTTCCCTTGTGGGTAAAGCAGTTAGTGGGTTCTGAGCATGAAGTGAAAGCGTCCTGATCAAAATACTATTCAGACAGATGCACGTATAGTTCAAATATCCCAGTTCCCTGTACGGGCTGAATAATGTCCCCCTCAAATTCACTTGACTACAGTTGTTGTCACATGGCTTGCCAGCTCCTTTTCTCTGGACTTCTTATTTCCTCAAGACTGGCTCTCTGTATCCGACTAGTGGTGGAGGGCTCCTTTGTGTTGGTGTCAGCTGTTGGTATGATTTAGTTGGATGTGGTGTGCTTTGATGATGAATCTTCAACATTGCAGGATCTCTCCCCTGCATCCTGTTTTTTTGTTCTTTTATGGAACAAAAACTTAGCATCCGTAATTTACATCGAGCTTTAAGTTTTACGGCATATTCTTTCTGGCAGTCATCACGTCTTCTCTCCCTGGAGAAGAAAACCCTTCCCCCTCAACGTGAGGACATTTGGAAAGTAACAAAACTACACAAGAAGGCAAAAGTCACTGCTGGTTCTACCACTCAGTGATAATCAATATTAACATATTAATAAATCCCCTTCTAATTTTGTTGTTATCGTTGTGCAGGCTAGAGTGCAGTGGCAGGATCATAGCTCACTACAGTCTCAAACTCCTGGGCTCCAGAGATCCTCCTGCCTCAGCCTCCCAAGTAGCTGGGACTACAGATGTGCTCCACCACACCCGGCTAATTTTTCTATTTTTTGTAGAGACAGGGTTTCACTATGTTGCCCAGCCTGGTCTAGAACTTCTGGTCTCATGTGATTCCTCCTGCCTTAGCCCCTCAAAGTGCTAGGATTACAAGTGTGAGCTACTGCAGCGGTTCAATTTTTTTCTTCTATGTTATACACACATATGATGCATTAACCATGTATTCAAGTCAGAAATAGGCCCATTACACCCATTTCAGATGGAATTATTGCACTGGCTACTGATGGTATTTGCTTTCTTTTCAATTTAGCAGCAGAACTTGACCTAGTTTCCTTTCTTTGGGATTAGCTCATTAGTTTGACATATATGTTGCTGGGTTGGTTCTCACTACCCTTCATTTCAGACAATTCTGTTATTTTTTTCTGGAAGGATCTAACAGAGAGAAGGGCCTTCTCTGGGTTATTACCTGAAATACACTGGCACCTTTCTTTATTCTCTACATAAAGAAATGGAAGCACAGACAGAACAAACGTCCCCGCTCACGTCCCTAATGAGAACCGGGAGTCAGCTGCAAGCCTCCCATCACCCTGCCCAGGGCTCTTTCTGTTGCACCAGAGAAAACTGGCAGCCCGAGCCGCTCAGGTCAAAGTGCAGGAAGACGAATGGAAAAGAAAAATGCTGCTCCTCTCATCTGTGTTTTCTCTCATTACTCCATCAATGGGTGTGAGTCATCTCTGCAGCTGGTTCAAATGCAGATTCGCCACCCTACCCAGAGACTCAGATTCAGCAGATGTGTGCGGGGAGCACTTGGGATGCAGTAACAAGTGCCAACAGCTCATTCTCAGGCAAGTGGCCTTTTGACTCTCTCTGAGAAACACAGTAATAGTCTTGAAGCTCTTGGAGATGGCATCTTCACAGGCCTTTTCCTCAGAGTGGCTCTGCTAAGCACCCTTAGCAATCACGGAGACAGCAGATTGTCTTAGCCAAGGCTGCTGCTAGCCCCTGGGGCAACTCTGTGCAAATTAGAAGCCCCCTCCAGCTGGATGCAGTCCTGAGCAAGTGCAGCACAGGTGAGAACCTGACCTTCACCTGCTGGCTGGCTGAACACCTGTGATGACCTCTGCCCTGCTCACCACTTGTTACTACGTCCCCTTCTCAGCACGCCCTCCCAGCACAGATCTTTTTAATTTAGAGAGAATTGAGCATTTGAGAGACCCACCTGTAGCCAGGATAAGTCCCTCCAGATGGGGCCTGGTCTTGCCTCACTCATTTCCTTCTGTTTTTGAACTATACTCTATAACATCAACATATCACCCAGAATAATTTCTAGGGTTTGATGGAAAGCTGGGGTTTAAAATAAAGAAATAAAGTTAGAGTTTAAAGCTAGAGGTGAGGGGGAAATTCAAGAAGCAAGGGAACCCCGGGCAGGCTGGGCCTCTTTGATGCTCTCAAGTCATGTGAGCCCTGAGTCCCTGCTTGGGTGCCGTCTGGGACAGGAAGGGCCTGGAGCAATTTGCAGGCTGTGAGCTTCTCCTTAGTCGGTGTGCTAGACCTTCTGTGTGGCTCTCCAGTGCCTACAGTCCCTTACCTTCTGTTTTGATCCTCAGGGCTGTCCTGACCAGGGCAAACAGGGTAGCATTGAACATGACTGTTCCATCGCTGTTCAGAGGCATGTTCATGGATACCAGGCGCTGTAGGGGAAGGGGGCAAAGCCGGTGGTTACAGCAGAAGGTTCTTGAAGGAGGATCCTACAGAACCACCACAGTGGGAAAATGCTGGGGGTGAGGAGACTTGAAACTCATGTGGGTGTTGTCAGGCATGGGTAGGGGTGTGCAGCACAGGTCATGAGAACGTGTTCAAAATCCTTTCTGGGGAGAAAGGGTCACTATGAGCATCCTCTCTAGACCCTCACCTCCACAGGATGTGAAGCCCACCTCAACCCCTGTCCTGCCGGTGTCTGTTCAAGCAGCATGCTGGGCGCTGGCCCAGACGAGGCACAGGGTGACGGGAGACTTGCTCGTAGGAGCTGCGGTCTGTCCTCTCCATCAGACTGGGGCAGAAGCTGCTGGCACTGGCTGGGCCTGGACTGCCCGCCTCCCTTCTTTCCCACCCCCGATGTGTGTGCACCTTGCACGGCACTCTAGGGCCATGCCACCAGCACAGCCAGGTCATGATGAGAATGCTTGTCATGAGGGTCACCAGCTACCTCAGCATCTACCTTGAGGACGTGGTCAGGGATGCTGTCCACTAGCTCATGTGTTGTCCTCCTGTTAATCTTAGCACCAAGAAGGGTGACGTTTCCTCAATGACCAGATCCTTCTGGATCTCATGGACAGCGTGAACTGGATAGTGACCACTGGAAAGCTTAGAGCCTAATGTTCCACCTGCCGTGGCCCATCTGGGGGTCACACGGAATCCTCTCAGCCCTGTCCAGGCTGCAAACCTCCTCACTCTTGTGAAGCTAATGCATGGACTCTCTCCTGGCTCTCTAACCCCCAAAAAGAACATTGGCTCAGGGTGCCTGGACAGTGCAGTCAGCAGTGAGATGAGCTGAACAAATCCTTTACGTTGGGTGGGGCACATGCTCACTGGGACACAAGGCATTCCCTCTATGATTTCTTTAGAATCTGAGAACTCAGAGCTGGAAAGGACTCTCAAAATAGAACCGGGCTCAGGCTCATTTCTTTTTCTTTTTATTAAATCATAGCTGTGTCTATTAATGCAATTATGGGGTACAATGTGCTGGCTTTAGATACAATTTGAAATACTTTCATGAAACTGGTTAACATAGCCTTTACCGCATTTTCTTAGTTATTGTGTTAAGACATTTATATTCTACACTTAGTAGATTTAACATGTACCCTTGTAAAATGCATCATAGGTTTGGTCCCACCGATTACCCTCCCTTCACCCATCCTCCCCTCTCCCCTCAGGCTCATTTCTTTAGGCACATAAAAGAGTAGCTTCAATTCCTTCTAGCATCCATGGTCCAGCCAAGGTCATAAGATAAACAGCATCTTGCCTCCCATATTTATCTCTTTTTCCCACAAACCCAGGTCATCTCTTACTTTGCAAGCCACGCGGTGAGGGCACAGCTTCCCAAAGCCCAGGGGAGGCTGAATCCGCCGGAGGAGGGTCACCACGTCTAGGTGTTTGATACGACCCCTAGGAGAGGAAGGGGGAAGAACAGTCAGAGGGCCATGACCCTGCTGGGTCCTGAGAGGTGGGGCCCACCCATAGGGAATACACCAGGGAGGCTCTACAGGTCAAGCTTGGGGCAGAGTTGCAGAATTGCATGGTGCAATTTCAAATCTACTACACCTGTATCTAGATTTTTTTCTTTTTTTAAGACAGAGTCTCACTGTTGCCCTGTGTAGAGTGCCATGGTATTATCATACCTCACAGCAACCTCAAGCTCTTGGGCTCAAGAGATTCTCTTGTCTCAGCCTCCCAAGTAGGTGGGACCACAAGTGGTCACCACAATGCCTGACTAGTTTTTCCTATTTTTAGTAGAGATGGGGTCTCACTCCTGCTCAGGCTGGTCTCGAAATCCTAAGCTCAAGCAATCCACCCACCTCAGCTTTCTAGAGTGCTAGGATTACAGGTGTGAGCCACCATGCCTGGGCGTATGTTTAGGTTTTAATGAACAATTTTCTGTTCATGCTATGTTCGAGGTGGAAGGAATTTCAGTAGTGCAATAGAATTCTCAAAGTATACTTACTGCTTCAACCAACTGACCATCTGACCAAAACACACTTACTAAAAGTCAATCAAATGTGATCTATTAGTGAGGGCATGAAGTCAAGACTTACCTGGCTGTAAACATCCCAACTTGAGCACTTGTTATTTATTCTTGATACTAGGATCTCCTATATCCTTCCATTCAATTGGATGTGACAGATGTGTCCTTAACTTAGTTAAAGGTGTCTGACTTTTGACCCTTCAGCCTGGGGTCTGAGGCAGTTCAGTTTTTTCAAATGGTCCACCCAATCTTGGCCCATCATGAGCCTCTCCTACAGGCATGGCCAGTCCATACCCTCCCCCACAGCCTGGGGAATCAGGATTTCCTTCTGGGAACTTACTTGGCTTCAGGGTCATACTCTGCCCAAATTCTTTTAAATTCATCCAGATGGTGGGGACCAAGGATTGACCAGTCCCTGGTCAGGTAGTCAAAGTTGTCCATGATGACAGCTACAAAGAGGTTGATGATCTGCGAGGATAGTTAGTACAATGAAGCACTCAATGTGGACTTTTATGCACCTGCCACTTGACCCACTTTGCCAGCCAGTGTGCATGGCAGAAGCTGACATTTCTAAATACCAGCATGTAATGCCAGGATGCCCCACCACTCCTAGAACTTGGGTGTCCTAGGTTTATGCTTGACACGGCTTCTCTGAGAGTTGTGTAGGGTAGACCCACATGTGGGCTGGACGGCTTCCCTCCTACCATGCTCTTGGGCAGGACTACCCAGGACAGAGGTAGTCTTCATCTACCACCATCCCTCACTCCTCAGCAAGAGGCCAAGAAAGTATGTATTTCTTCTGGGTCTCCACAATTCCCTTTTGTCCTCTGGGACAATGCCACCTATGACAAGAGCCAAGAATGGGCAAGCAAGATGCTGGCTGACCTCATTCTAGCCCAAGGCATCCTACCTTCCTCTCAGTGTGACCAGACATTCCTACCAACTTAGTCTTCTCAAGCCAGCTCCTCCAGGAGGGTTGCCCTGACTATGAGCTGCAGAGATCAAGGGTTCGGGGTCCTCGGGAACCGCCCACTCATTACTTGCGGCTGTGGAGACCACTAGGCTTACCAGGAAGGCACAGAGCATGTAGAAGCTGATGAAGTAGAAGACGGCAAAGCTGCTGCCGCAGGGGGTCTCCCCTTCCGTGCTGTTGCTGGGCTCGGACTCTGGGGCGCATTTCTTGCCTGGCATGCAGGCCAGCATGATGTCCTGCCAGGCCTCTCCAGTGGCACACCTGGGAGAGAGGGGGGAGCCCTCACCCATACAGCCAGCCCCCTGGGTGCCACACAAACCCCTCTGCCTCCTTCTGCAGAGGGGTTCACTAAAATGAGCTTGGTGTTTATCATTCCCTGAATGCTTTGATATTTTCACTAAACATGAAAACATGTAGCATTATTCTGAACATTTCAAAACTTTGCATAAATAGTAATACATTGAACCTTGTCTGCAAGCTTGTTCTTTTTGCAATCCATGTGAAGTTTGGGTGAGTAAGTCATTTGGATAGTATATTTTAGACCTAGTTCATTCACCTTAACTGCTGTATAAGAGTATAATCTAGAACATGCCATTAAAAAAAACAAGCTCCTGTTATGGGTCATTTGAGCTTTTCATTTTTTTTTTTCATTTGCTATTACAAATAACACCTCAATAAACATGTGAATCTATGTCTTGCCATCTGCTCAGAAGTGGAGTTGCTAGTTGAAGTTACACACGTCCTCATTTAACCAGGCATCCTGTGCTGTTCAAGTGTTTGTCCAATTTAGATTCCTGTTATCAGTGAAGGGGAAATGTCACTACTCTATGGACTCATCACATCTTGGTATTAAGGAATTTTTTAAATGTTGCTCATATGATTGTGAAATGTTGCTTCTTTGCTGTTTTAATTTGGTGTTAAAATGATTAGTGGGTTGAGAATTTGGATTTTATCTTCTGTCAAATTGTATTTTTGCTTATTTGACTTAAGGATTATTTAT